AAGCTGCCTTAGCCATTCCATCAGCAACCTTGTTACACTCCCGGGGAGTGAAAGTCACGACTGTATTCCAAGAACGAGCAGCTAGCTCTCGGACGCATAACACTAAGGTCCCGTTTGGTTCACGGAATATTTCATTCCTAGGGGGAATGTTTTTTTTCCGGGTTGAAGATACCCACGTTTGGTTTCTCTACATTCCCATATACCAGTCAAAAATTAATACCAACAGTGTTTTCCCCCTGTTTCTCCGGGAATGTTAGTCCTCCATCTCCCTTAGGTATTTTCTTATTCCCGTCCCTTGCTTCCTAAAATATCATTCTCCCCGCTTGGTTCTATTGAAACAAAATTTTCTTCTTCAATTTGGCGTTTATTTCTGCTTATGGCGTATTATGATTTTTGCTTGGAGCCCTTATAAAGACGAGAATTCCTTCCCATGCTGATGGCGAGAAGAAGCTTAGAGCCCAGCAATTCTCTAAGGTTGGAATTTTTATTCTTTCATTTCATTTTATTTTTTTTGCAGCTGAGAAATCGCAAGAAATTTCTCTTCTTCTTTTTTAAATATAATTTAACCTGATATTCATTCAGATGTCTAGAATCAATCACATAAGAATGTTTTTTTTTTCTTGAAACGAATTTGTTTTTTCGTCAAATGCAGTTGTTAATGGGTTTGATTTTTGTTCGATCTGCAGAAGCTTTTTCATTCTGTTCGTCGGTTCTAACATCACATTTAGATTATATTTTGGTTTGGAATCATATCTGTAATTGAACATTTTTTGGCTTCTTTAGGGCCGGTTATGACCAAGTTTACCATAGCATTGAGAGAAATTGGGACATACAAGTAAGTTCTTCAGTCCTAGGTAATTCTCTGAACTATCATTTTAACATGAATTCAAATTTATTACAGAGGAGTAAGGACCTAAGATAACTGGTTTTGGATTGTAACTCTTTGAAATCTAATGTTTTCAATACATAAAATATTTCACGGAGTGGAGAGGAGATTCTTAACCCAGACTAGGAAGAGATTAATAGAAGTATCCAAAATGAAAGCATTAATTGTGATACGAACAAACACCTTTGGAAACGAATGTTAAGAGTTTTTGAAATAAAGAAAGAATTGTTGGGTTGATTTGATGATCATTGGTTCGTACAAAATGGAGTTTTTGCAGCAGTTCAAGGCCTCAACTAATCCTTCACTCTAACAAAGGGAAGTTGTTTGAGTACTCATCTGATTACAGGTATTATTTTCACTTTTCCGGACCCATTTTGAACACTCCACTATGATTTTTTAGTTTTAAGAGAATATGCTGCTTTGGTAACAAGAGTTTGGAGATCATTGAGGTTATTTTGCATTCGTGTTAAAGCTTGAGAACCGTTTACTCGTAAGCGTATAAACTGTTTGTCAAAATGCCTGAATGAGTGTTTAGGTGTATAAGAGAAGAATCTGTTGATACTATCAGTTGGTTACTTTATTACATCCTATAAAAAATATCTTTGCTATAGATTCATAGGTTATTTATTTATCACTTTGCTATAGATTCATCTAACTTCTTATAATCTGTGTATTATTCTAGATAATGTATTTTTTATTTGTAAGCTTTTTGGTTTAAAATATCTTATCTGAGTGCAGGAAGCACGTAAACTCTTTAACAAGGCTAGTCTTATTTACGACCAGGTGCTTTAGAATTTAAATTTATTTTGCTTGTGTAGTTTGTTAGCTTGCTTTATTTTCATTGATTGAATGTGATAATATAATTTGGAGTTGGCCTAAAATCGAATTAATTGTTACATTGTATTGCTTTGTATAATCTTGCAGGCTCGTGAAAAGTTTCTTTCACTGAGAAAAAGTACAAAGAGTAATATTATCAATGTTTTGGAAGAGGTATCTTGCAAAATGGCTTGCTTTAATGGTTTATAATCTCATGCATCTGACATTCTTACTTGCATATATATAATGTTGATGGATATTTAGTCTGACATGGTTGGCGTTATTCTAGGAACTTCATAATGCAAGAAAAACATTTGAGCAGGCTCATTTTAATCTAGTGAGTGACTTGCTAGCAGATGATTTCTAAATTGATGTTGCTTTGATAGTTCAAAATTGGTTCAATATGGGAATTACACTATTGTGGTTTACGATTACAGGTAACTGCTCTTTCAAATGTTGAATCCAAAAAGCGATTTGAGTTTCTGGAAGCTGTCAGTGGGACTATGGATGCGCATCTTCGATACTTCAAACAGGTTATCGCATGGCATGACTTCTCTATTTCTTTCTGATTGTTTCAAATTTTAATCACTTGCTGAATGCATTGCTCACGACTAACTTTGGTCATTTATAGGGATATGAATTATTGCATCAAATGGAGCCATACATTAATCAGGTTTGTTATCATAACTTCCCTCTAGTGTGATCGGTGGGTTCAAATTGAGTTTCAACGAAATAGTTGGCTTGCAATTCATTTTATTCAATTTTAATTACAGGAGAGCATGGAGCATCGTAAGCTGGAGCTAAGGGGCTGACCTACATTAAACATGATGATACCAATGAATGTATTCGAGGGTTCTAGCAAAGATAATCATCGAAGGGTTGGTGGTTTGGGAAAGCGGTGATGAAGTGTTGGATGAAGAGGCCGGAGGGAGCCAGGAGGTTCAGGTGAAAGTTCTCGTGAAGCGAGGGAATAAACAACAAACAAAACAAATGTACATTCCTCGAGATTTCACTATTGTCCAAAGCATGAAACAGAAAGAAGCAGCTGAGTTCGAAGAGAAACAAGACATTAAGAGGCTGATCTTGGAGTATAATGACAGGGTGGAGGAAGAGAAGAACGGACTCTGAGCACAAACATTGAATTGGCCTAGTGTAAATAGTCGAGCTTATGGCTGTGGAAACTCATGGGAATGATCCAACAGCAGGAGTGGAGGATCACGACATCGCCATCATAGCCATTCTGGAAGTGGGTCTTATTACGGCAGAAAAAAGTGAGCTTTTTGTTTAAATATAAAAAATTTGGATGTCTGGGTATCGTATTTGTATCATGCCTACATTAGAGAATGATTGAGAACAACATTGGCTTGAGCTCTCACGAACAACCAGATGGTTAAACTATCTCTTTCGGGTCCGATTCAAAACACAATTTTGATAATACACATTGCCCGCTAATTGCTAATCGGCAATTAGGCTTTCTGCAAGGCGGCTACTGTTACATCGGTTTTCTCATATAGGCAAGTTAAAAAATACCTCCAACTCGATCTTTTACTAGATATTACTGGGTCTTCATTAGACGTACATTACGTACGATGGATCCCGATGTGATTTCTGGGACGATGAACTGAAAATAAGCTTTACGGAGTCCAGAAATTATTTTGTTTCCCGTCTTTATTGTTGTATATCTGTTAGAGAGGGGAAGAAATGAATTTGATTAATCATGGTTTTTGTTACCCCAACTGAAGGTATCTAAGACTTCTGTTTGATATAGAAACTGTGAATTGTTATTCGGTGTGTATAATTTCTTTTATAGAAACTGTGAATTGTCATTTGTGGTTTGAGAGAGAGAATAACGAGTTTTGAACATGAAATCTCTTTTCTTTTATCTGCTCAAACGGACAATTATAAGGTAATGTTAATAAAATCTCTTTTTATATATATATATAATTTATTTTTAAGGAATATATTTGTTTCAAGAAGATGCCAACACCAAATAATTTTCTTGAAAATATAAATTTAAGGTTTAATGTTAAAAGAGTAATTTTTTTTTATTGATGTATTAAATACGATCAACTTCAAATTATTATCTATTTCAATTATTATTAAATATTATTTAAAAAATATTATTTTAAAAAATACTAATAAGATTTCCACGTATGCACGTTTAGTGAGTCGGGATTTACAAATCAATAAGAGTATCCACAACAAAAGGTTTCATACATTTACTGCTATTTTGATTGGTTGTGCGGTTCTTCCTCACTTAAAGTCCCTAGCAAAAATCATAGAACATGGTTTGAATGATGAGAATCAGTGCTGAGGCTACTGCTCCCTATGGTATTGAAAGCTTTGACTCAGTTTTAAAACCATTGTGGAAGGGTATCAGGTCGTGATAAAGTATTGGCTGTATTTTTTAAGGCAGTGGTTTTATCATTCATTTGATAAATATTAGCAAAGATAATGATAATGACGGTGAAATATAAAATTATAGATAATATGATTTTTAGTGTTATATTTTCTTACTTATTTGAATTATGTTTTTGTAATATAAATTCATGAGATAAATAATAATGATAAAGTATGCAGAATTAAGTATAAATATAAAAGATAAATAAATAAATAAATTATTGTATATAGAAGATATAATAAATATTATATCTTAGATAACAAAAATAATTTACATCTTTTTATTATTATGAATATCTATAAAGAATTTTCATAATGTAAACATTTAGTTACATAATGTAAAATTTTAATATATTTTTACATAAATTATGTAAAATTTAATATTAATTAAAATTAAAATAATACATATATATTTACATACTCAAGTATATATTATCAACATATAGAATTTTATATAAATAATTTTTATTTAAACATTTAGAATTTCACTTGTTAAAAAATATAGAACAAAGACAATTTGGTAAAATATACATTTCAGTAATCTTTTATTCGTTCAACCAAACACTGTAATCTTACATTCCTGTCAAACCAACCAACACAATAATGTAATTCCAGTAATTATATCCGTGAACGAACTGAAATCTGCACAGTGCGGATGGTGGAAGACTGAAATCGCCTACTTGCTATCCGCTTCTACAACTAAAGATTGAATTCCCAACTCCCATGCCATCTTTATCCCCTCAAAAGTCCCCAACTCGGCATCTAAAGTTGATTATGTTATTGACGGTTTTATTACTTTTTGAAATTTCAGTGTTAGAAACTAAACTTATTAAAATTTAAGTGACCATTTAATGTAGTCCACCCTTGATTTATTTAGCTCTACAAAAATATCCTTGTACCGTCGTATCCCATTGATGTAATCCGCGTCATCGACCGAGTCACTCACTCTCCCAAAGAGTTGTCCATTTCTCTTCATCTCCTCCGCCAAGCAGCGAAAAGTTTCTTCTTAGCCATTAAAATTTACGAGAATGGTATATTTCATTATCCATAAATAAATTATTTTTCTGTAAATTTTTATTTAAAATCTGATTATTTTTATTAATTTTCGAATTATTTATCGAAGATTACTAGATTAGGGTTTTGAGTTTCCTGTTATTGATTCTGATCTGTTCTGTTCTGTTGTAATCTGTTGCTCAAAACAAGAAATGCGAAATGGATCCATGGTTATGATCGCTAAATGCTGACAAATTCTTGGAATGTGAATCTGAGTATTAGATTCAAATGCTAAAACGACGTGGAAACTTACCAGTTTATACAATCTTTTTCTTTCTTCGGCTTGTTATTGTAGTTAGAACTTAACGATCGACAAAATTGTTCAATGTAGTCGTGGTTTTAATTGTTTTTGTTGCAGTGGCATTTAATTTTAAGTTAAACTTGTATGTTTGCACTTTTTGGGTCTAATCGAGTTGATAATTCTATGTTGCTATGACTCCTCATTTTCCTGAAGTGCCCATGTTGGACACAGATCAAGACATGGCATATGACTCTCCACAAATGCATGAAGATTTTGAACAAAAATTGAACATAACCGTATCAGGCACATAATCGATTGTGTCTTCAGACCTGAGTTATAGGCTTGAACTTATTCATGGAAGAAACTTTTGCTTCCTTCAGAAAAGATCATGTGTTCGTATATTATACAGTGGCAGATATTGACACTATTGTTAGCATTTTGTGTTACATGGTTTTCATTTTATCTTTTATTTTGCAGGATGGGAATGGTTCTGAAGATAAGAAACAGGACAATGCTGATATGGCAGCTTTTGTAAGTTACTTTTCAAGTTCCCAGATACTTTTATGTATCACAGATGGACTTAAGATCGTTTCCTTCGCTTCATGGTTATTTAGAACAGACAGAATATGGTGTATTCTGAACACTGCACTTAAATTGAATGGGTTGCTTTCAACCATTGTACACTTTTATGAAATAGCGGAAAAGCATGGAGATTTCATTATGTTTAGTTTCATAGATTTTCAGTGTTATGGTTCTATGGTTTAATTAATTGGCATCTAGATTATACTGAATTGATTGTATCGTTTTTCAGGTCCAGAGTCTACTTGAACAGATGGTGAGTTCTTATCTTGAACTGAATTAAGATTCTGTAAGGAATTAATAAGCAATAAATTTTAAGCAGATGTAGCTAAGTTTGTTCTGTTATTACATATTACAGCAATCGAGGTTTCAAACAATGTCCGACTCCATCATTACGAAGAATATCCTTTTCGTATTATCTAGTTACTTCAACCTGAGGAGGTGATTTTCTTTCAAATTTCATTTCATTTCACTTGACCTTGTTCTTTAGGTTCTTCTAAAACCAAAATGAAGTGATATGATCTTAATGGGATATTGGGATGCATATCTTCACGCGTTAAATTGCACTTGATTTCCTTGACTTTAATGCACTTGATGAGATGGGCAGCAGGATAGATGAGCTAGAGCAAAGCATCAATGATCTCCGAACAGAGATGGATGGAGAGACATCCCCTTCTCCTTCAGTTCCTACTGGGCCAAAGGACGATTCCAAGTCAACCAAAGATCCCTAATACAGTAAATCCGGCGTTGACATCATGGTATTTCTAGACCCTGTATTTCTTTTGATGCCTGTCTTTTCTCATATGTAAAATCTGTAACAAACAGGCACATATACCTTATATTTGTACCTAATGCCTCGTCTAATTTGTATTTCCTCATAATATGGTTAACCCATATCTGAGAACTCTTCACATTAGTAGCACAACTACATGATTGTACTTGTTTTCATTGTATATTGTATGATTGGGATTGAGCTGTTTAAGTAACAAATACTTGAAAAGAGGAATTGATTTATATATAGGAAATACTAGTTTGGTAGACGAGTTCATGATGGTTTGTGAAATCCCATTAGTATTTGGTCATGCTGCTCACCAAGTAATTAGATTAATGAAGGCATTTAAAGAATAGTGGAAAGGTGGTCCTAAAATTCTTGATGTTAACCTTTGTGGATTGGTTTTTTTTGTTTTTTTTCTTTCAATTCTCATATGTATATGACAAATACAGGTGTGAGATGCCAACTACAGTTGGATTTCTCTTTGTTTGCCTTTGAAAAAAGAATTAGAATCCATTTAATTTTACAATTTTTCTGAACATACAAACGAATTTGTTCGCAAATGTTAAATGAACATGTTGATGGACATATAAACGAACAAGTTCGCAAATGCTAAACAAATCATGAATTAACACTTTCAAAAAAAAAAAAAAAAGAACACAATTACTCCTATAATGTTAAAAAATTTGAGCTGAACATGAAAACTTTAAAAAGTAAATAAAAAAACATAAACGCGACCTCATCCATTCAAATTTAATTCATTTACACTCGTAATTGGCACATTTTCGTCTCAGATTTAAATATCCGAAATTTGTAAAATATATGATAATATTTTAGAAAAGTAAATATATTATATATTTTAAAAAATGATAAAAATGTGTTGTCCACAACCACAAACAATCACGTGTAGTAAATTAAAATATAATTAGAGAGTACAATTACATTATTAGACAACATAAATATAATCCATCCACTAAATTCTTTGGTTGATAGAAATCTGAAAAGGGGAAAATCCAACAATCCATTGGCAATACACAAAATTATGAATTAATCATATATGGGATGAAAATAATACATTTTTATTAATTATAGAGATTTTTATTATAATAGAAGGAAGGATATAAAAAATAGGGCAAATTAGTACCTAATCTTAGGGATGGCAACGGGCCGGGTATTGGTCCCCCGTCCCTGTTTAAAAACCCGTACCCGTCCCGCTTAAAAAACTGCGGGGATTTAAACGGAGATCCCCATCGGGTAATCGAGGAAACCCGCAGGGAAACGAGTATCCCCGTTTAGCATAAACAGTTATTTAAATTGGTATCGGGCCGGGTATATATATTTTTAATTTTAAATTAATATTATATATATATATATATATATATATATATATATATATATATATATATATATTATTTTTAATATTTATCGGGACGGATAATCGGGGCGGGGATTACCAAACCCGTCCCCGTTTAGCATAAACGGTTTTCCCCGTCCCCGTTTATCATCCTAGAACCCGAACCGTTTAATTCGGTTTTCGATTTTCCCCGTCGGGTTCGGGTTTTTTTGCCATCCCTACCTAATCTATTTGTTTTGATTTGTTTTAGTACCTAAATTTTAATTTTTTTAAAAAAATTAACGTTAAATTTTAAACATGGATATTAAAATGAAATAAAAACTGAACTTTAGGTATGATTTTAAAAATTTAAAAGTTTAGGTAATAAAACGAGCCTAAATTGATAGTTTAGGTAAGAAACTCGATATAACTTAAGTAGATCTCGAATTCGAAGCCTTGTATATTTAGAAAATTTCCGCTAGGAGGCTCACCCACCAAAACTAAGTGTGCAACACGGGTCGGTCTAATTAATTAGGACAAAGCCCTAAGAACTGGGAGGGTAACCATACACACACACACAGTTACATTTCATGTTTAAACACAATTTAAAAGGAATTTTTTAAATATAACGAATGATATTTAACTAATTGATCGACTAATCCAGATTAGGTACTGTAGAGATTCATTACGGGAGGTCTCTCTCAAGTCCCAACCAAGTTTACTCCATTTATAACGTCAGAATTTTCTATCCGAACAACCCAATAATTGGATAGTTCTGTTGTACAACGACCTAACCTAAGGCAAAGTTTCGGTGAGTTTTGACATAAAATGTTATCATGTCCAACCTAAAAAGTTATATAATTAGTAATAATTTCAGTTACAATTGAGAATTTTACATTGTCACAAATTTTTACTTAAAATGTTACATGATTATTTTAAAAATTATACAATTGGTAATAATTTCGGTTACAACTTAGAATGTCTTGACAACTTTTTAGGTTACAACCAAAATAAATATACAATTTACATGATTTATTATGGAGAACGTAATATTTTTGGTTTCAGCCTAAAATGTTACTTAAATTACTCTAAAGAATTACGCTCTTGATAATTTTTTGGTTACCACTGATTTTTATCTTTTTAACCTTACATTAATCAATTGTATTTTAGAGACTCATCCTCATAATTACAGGCTTCTTTGAATGGCATTTTGACCTCTATGAGCAATAAAAGGTGACAGTGGATTCATATGAAAGGTGTTTCTTCAGCTAGAAAACAGGATAGACTTGGAATTTTAACCTAAGAAACATGATATTAGTTCACAACACAGTGAAAAGTACAAGTGCAAGAGTGCATACTCCATGATAAAACCCATCTATTGTTCCTTCCTTGCCATTTTCCTTTATGGATGAAGTATGCATTTCCTCATCCTTTCCTTCAACCTTAGGATCTTCGGCCTCTTTCAAACCCTCTTACACATCCTGCAGCTGCAACAGTTCCAAACGTTTCAACCGATGCGCAGATTCCAGTTTCTAAAGGCATAGACAATGGTGCAAACACAAGTAGCATAAGCCTATGTTACTCGGACATCAGTGTGCTGGATACAAGCACACGTTCAACTTCTTCTATGTATTTTGGAGGGTCATATCCTAATACCACATGTCCGAATATGTGCTGAACACAAGTGTCAGATTTGAGTACTTCATGGAAAATGAATCTGAAGCTAACATAGGTGTAAGGAATGTAACGAAAGTTCAAATTAAGCTTACCCCTAAGTTTCTTAAGCTAGCAGTAACATCTTCATGTTGCTGATGTAGAGTGTTCCTCAGTTCTTGAAATTCCTTATTTGATGAATGAAAAATTTAAGATAACTTAAAAGTCCCCTCGTTTCAGAATGAAAAATCTTTCTTTGAAGAGAAGAACTTACTGTACGGAGTTGCTCCACTTCAACGTTAATAAGTGTTTTCTTCAGTTCACTCAGCTCCTGCAAGAATACATGCAAATTAGCCTAACAAATGAAGCCATTAAAAGGTATTATTAATTGAAATACCTAACTAAAACTGCAATATGACAATCAATTGCTTGATTATAGGTGTTCTTAGTCAAGAATCAGTTCTTCCATCAAAATTTTTCAAACAATGGCACAAATCTTTAGATCCTTGGTCTCAACTGATGCTACTGAGACAAGAGAATAAGAGCCGGGCACCGGATAAGAGACCAACAACAAGGTGTGCTCATTCTTTAAAAAGTTTTCATATAATTAGAGGATCATACATTTGTAACTCCAAATTTATATCCGAATATATGTCGAGATGCACTCCAATGGAAATGAAGAATTTGCAGAATTCAACCAACACTGGTCTCAACCATTCAGAAGCAGCAAGAGGAAAAACATCAAATCAGAAAGATTTATCAGGAAATCTAAATTTATATATTGTTATTATATCCTAAATGGCCTATATTTCTCTGAAGTAAGCTCACTGCTAACATGTTGGTAACTATCCAAGAATTCAATGAGCTGTGAAAGACAAAAATAATATAAGTAAACTCAACATTTCTTAATTCAATTGCAGTTTCCTACAATAATACAAAGGAAGAAGGTTTTAAACCAGGGTGCTTGGGTGTTTGAAGCCAGATTTTTCTCAGGAAACAAGAATTGGATTTTGATGAACTGAAGCAGGGTATCAAATAGCATTCACGGTCACGTTTTCGGTCGCGTCGCATTTATCGCAGTTACGAACATAACGGATGCCATCGCGTTCACTGCTGGTGTCGCGGTCATGAATTTTTTTAAATTTTGCACAACTTATCTTAAAACATAATAAAAATAATTATAATTATAATTATAAGGAATCATTTTTAATGATTTTTAAAATGTTTTCTAATCGAAATTGATATATATATACTTTAACTAAATTAGAACTAGACAAGAATTACAAGAACCTATTGGCAATAATTTCATTTTGTTTTATGTGATAATCATATTAATCAGTGACCAGAATAAATATTCAGTAAATTTAGGAGGACATGAAACATGAATATTACAATTCTTAATGCATAACAAATTGAGGACTAAATGTAACAACAAAAATTGATAAGGCCAATCGAACATTTAACCATAACATAATAGTATACAGGGTGACTAAAATGTAAATATCGGGAAATTTAGAGCTCCGCGCATAAAATGGAAACCTTGTATTTAGTGATTAAATTAAAAGGTTACAAACTACGAATGATCGATAAAGTAGTTAACCTAAACACCCAAAACGTATGCCTTCCCAACCTTAAACGACGTTGTTTTATGGGTTTTATATAAGCCTAAAATCATGGCAAAAAATGGCCCATAGCCCTCATTTGTTTATTTCTCTTTGTTTTCACCAAAAAAGGAAAAAAAAATTCTCTAAACTCTCTCTTCCTCCCTTGGTCGAGACACCCAAACTTCCCTCCTGCCAGAACTCTTGATACAACCCTAAAAACAACCCTTTTTCCTCTCCTAAACCCAAAAATATCCACTATTTGACCTCTAACCCCTCATCTCATCCTAGATCTAGAGAAAACAAAGAGGTTACCTTGGACGAACGACAATCTTCTTGTTCCAGTGATGAAGAAATCGAATCCCTTTGAAGGAAAAGGTAACGTTCTCCACCTTTCATTTCCCTCTTTTCTTCTTTTCTATTTTATTCTCTCTTTTTGGTTCGAATAGTGTCCTTTTTTCCTTCAAAAAGCCTCCGGGAGTCCGACACCCGTATTCTCCAAACCAAGGAATATATTGCAGCAGATGTTGGTTTTTGTTTTTGTCTTGGAATCACGGTTGAATCACGGTTGTTGCATCCCGTTATCGATGCAATCTTCCGTTTCTCGTTAAATTGCGGACGTAATCGACCGAGATTGGTGTGAATCCGTGACCTACCGCAAAAATATGAACACCGATTTTGGACGGTGACGCGACCGTAATATCACAGTCGCTGTCACATTTTCGGAACGCTATTTGATACCCTGAACTGAAGTTGTGTCCCTTCATTTAAGATTTAAATTCTTTGAACCTCAAATAATAATAATAATAATAATAATAATAAAACTTTCTAATTTTATACTATCAATCATTATAATAAGTATAAATGAATCGGTTAAGATTAAAAATTAAAATAAATATTTTTATAAAAAATAGATAATTTAATAATCAATTTATTCATTCGATGATAATATTACAAGGCGAGTAAACTCGACTCGATTCAAAAAAATTGTTTTTCTTTCAATTTCGAGTTATTCGAGTCAACTCAAATTATCAATTCGGTTTCGAGTTTGAGTCGAGTTGAAATTTAGAAATTTTGAATTACTTAAAAAAAAAAAATTAACTCTATATTTGACAGTTTTACTATTTAGTCATTGATTTCATTATTCCTTAATTTCTCCTTCATCAAGTGTATTTTACTAAATTTGAACCTATGCTCTTAACTATTGTAGAATATATATGTACTTTCATTCATATTTTTGATAACAAATTTTCTATTTTACAATTTGGTCCCTCAATTTTTTAATTTCCTTATTTATCATTTTTTTCTCTATCAAATTTGAACCACATTCTCATATACCACTATAAATACTATGTAACTTCAATTCTTATTTTTTACTAAAAATATACTCTCTTTTTTTAGACCTTTACTCTCTTTTTTAGACCTTTAACATTACATTTTACTCAATTTGATCTTTTTGATTGCAGTTGTTTGCAAATTCTTTCTTCTAATCAATTCCTTAACTTTTTTATACTCTCATCAATATTTTACCCTCAAAATAAAGAAAAATATAATATTGTGAATACATTTTATAATTTCAGATTATATTTGATATATTAAATAACATTATAGTGTAAAAAAAAGAAATATATATATATCTCATATGATTAGATAAAGTCGAAAAATTGGAATCAATCCTTACCATAATACTATAAATAATTAATAAAATTAGCATAGAAATCCAAATAACTCAACTCAAATTTCTCAAACTCGACTCGAAATTTTAAGTTACGTTTGAGTTGTAAAATACTACTCATCAACTCTAATAACTCAATTTTTTTTACTTAACTCGATACAATCGAATGCTCAACCATTTTAATATAAAATTTTGTAGTTTTTATACTAGCTAGGTAAATCCAATATCATAATAAAATACATTATTTTATTTTTGGTTTAAAGATGTTAACTTTTTGGGAAAAAATTAACTAATTCTTTGATTTTTTATCTAATTAAATCTTTAAATTTAATAATTAATATGATTCTTTTAGGAATAAAAATCATCATTGATTATTGTAATATTGATGTTATAGTAACTCACATTGAATAATAATAATAGAAAAATGAGTTTAATTGATTTTTTAAAAATATTCAAAGGCTTAATTGATTTTTTAAAATTTAATAATTTATTTATATTTAATTAAAAATTATTTTTTTAATTTTTCAATAAATTATAATTTTTTATTTTATAAATTCTAATATTTTGATTTTATTTATTCTTTTAAAACTTTTAATTATATTTTTAATATAATTTTTTTTTAATTTTTAAATATTTAAATATCTTTGATATTTTATATTTAAATATTAATTTTTACCTAAAAATTAAATAATTCTTCAAAATTTAAAAAAAAAAACTAAATCATTATTTTTAAAAAAATTATACATCTCTATCACGTCATTATTCACGTATAAACTTCCATATCAATATGTAGATAGTCACGTCAACAATACCATGAATTGCTACATCAAACTGTAAACTATTAAATTAATACAATAACAATTAATAATTATTTTTATCTCTCAGAGAGATACAATAATTATTTTTCTACAATACAAAGGCTTAATTAGACTCAAAACGAATTTAGGGGTTTAATTTTTTTTTAAGTTTTGAGATTTTTTGAAATCTTAATCCTTATTTCTTAAAACTTTCCCAATCAATGGGGTTAATTTCACAATATTCCTCAAATGATGATTAAATTATAAACTATTCACAAAATTCAAAACATTGTAATTGAGTCTCCAAAATATTTTATAACGAGTTAAATTCAATTTATCCATACGATAGGTATACACTTTTTAATATGTTCCATATGATCATGCTAACGAAAGAATCTAATTGATATAAAATTGATACTTTTAGGATTGGATTAAAGTATTTTGAAATTTAAAGATTTTGGAATAAAGAAATAGTTTGAAGGCGTTTAGTGGAATTGACCCTTAAAATTTCAAATCTTTAAAGAGAAACTAAATCAGAGACCACTCAACTACAATCTCCTTTTATTTTAACCATCGTTTTTAAATTTTTGTCAATCATGTCATCCACCTATTTAAATGCATTCGATCAAGTCACTAGTCGTTAACATTTAACGGAGGAGGTGACGTGGCAGTTAAATAATTTAGTATAATTATATATTTGATCCTCAATACTTATACATTCTATCATTTAGTCATTATTTTAATTTAACTTATTAAATTTAATCCTCCAATCAAATAGTGACACGTGTCACTATAATTAAGAGTTATTTTTATAATTTAATATATTAATTTAATTATTTTTATCCGTACTAGCAAAAAGGAAAGGAAAATGGGTGTTGTAAGATTCGAACCTATACCAAATATAAAACTTGACAGCACAAAACTACTAAATTAATATTATATTTGGTTAAAATTCAGATAGAAATTTTATATATTTTAAATACTATTTTATGCGAGATTAAAATAGAAATTAAATTTAAGTTTTGCACATGATTAAAATCGATTTCTAATTACACATTTTAATTATAATCGAATAAAAATTAATTAAAATAGAAATGATTTGTAAATTTTTAATAAAAGTTAAAATTATTAATCAAATTAAAAAGAGTATCAAATTTTAGATAATTTCTCTTTTAATCTCGTATAAACTATTATTTGAAATATATAAAATATCTATCTTTATTTTAATCAAATAAAATATTTGCTTTAGTAGTTTTGTGCTGTCAAGTTTTATATTTGGTCTAGGTTCCAATCTTACAACACCCATTTTCCTCTCTTTTTTGCTAGTATTATTTTAAGTATAATATATATACATTATTGTGTAACTTACAACCTATTTGATGGCCTAGGCTAATTGGTAAGATTGCATGTTTCATCACTAGAAGTCCTGAGTTGATTCCTCGCAGCCCTCATGATTTGCTTCTCTTTGTGATTTGTTTTCCATCCAATCAGATGGTGTCACGTGTCACCATTTGATTGGAGAAAAAATATTTAAATTAAATATAAATTAAATTAATAAAATCTCTCTAATGATATCGTGACACATGTCATCATATAATTAGAGATTAATATATTAAATTAATTTAAATTATGACCACTTTGATAGATTATGTAAGTAAAAAGGACTAAATGTAAATTATATTAATTTTATTAACTAACACGTCAACATTTATGTTAACTGTTAACGGCTAGTGGCTTAATTGAATGCATTTAAATAGTTAGGTTGTCTTATTGATAAAAATTCAAACATAATGGTCGAAATGAAAAGAGACTATAGTTGGGTGGTCTGTGGTATAGTTTACTGATCTTTAAAAAATGGGTTTCGATTTTGATTTGGCCGACCATTGTCACACTATCTTTTCTCTATTTCTTTCTTCTTCTTCAGTTGGTTCTTTATTTTCCGGACCAAATTTGTGGGTATTTGATCTCTTCGGATTGGGACAGTGAATCTCAGGTTTGATTTCTTCACTCCATTCTAGCTTCTTACAACTCTGTGAAACTGTTCTTTAGTTTATTTCGTTAAGACTTATTTGTTAGATCAGAAGTTTTCTTGTTTTTCTTATCAAATTTGTTCCTTTCTTGAATTGGATTGCTTGTTTTGCACGTCGTATTGTAATTGTTTCATTCAATTCAATTGGATTGTTAGGGAAATCCCCGTAATCAAACAAAGACGATCGTTTTTAGGGTATGTTTTGGCCATCAAAGTTTAAAAGGAAAAGTAAATGAATTTCATGGAATTTATTTTCTTTTATGTTTGGTTGAAAGGAAAATAGTTTGATGATAAATCTAATTAAGGGAAAGTTAAGGAAAGTACTGCAAATTTGCAATAGCTTTTATTTTCCAGTTTAATTGAAAGAAAAAAAATGGTTGAACAAGAACAAGTGAGAAAATTTTTCAGGAGGGAGCAGCTTATGCTATCCCCCATTTCTCAGATTTCTGTTTCACGTGATAAGATTAAGCAGAAAGACTGTTAACCACCGTCAAACACTTCCGGTCAGTATGCCTGGCGGCTTCCGGCCTGCTCGTTGAACATCAAAATTTTTATTGGAGATTTGATGTGAATTTTGGAACCATGTAGTACATCAGTTGATCTCTATTTCTCTTTGGGTTTTTTTCCTCGTTCATTTTTGAGTTTGATTGCCACCACCATTCATTCCCATTAAGCTTCCCTTGATTGTCTGTGTTGATTTGTTTTCGAGCTTTCGAAGATCAAAAGTTTGATATTGGTTGTTTTGATGATTTAACTATAATATTGTTGCTTATTGTTTTGCCAGGGAATTCCTTGGAGATGTCTTATAAAACTGCCCAGATTCGTCTTGTGAGTTCACATCCCGAGGTTTACGAGCCCTGCGATGATTCGTTTGCATTAGTCGATGCACTTTTGTCGGATCGAAAACACTTGTTGGAGCATAAACCGGTATTGTGCATGGAAGGGTTGTGGAAGTGGTTATGTTATTACTTCTTTGATACTTTGCTTGGGGATGATGCTAATGGAGCTCAGTTTATTGCAACTGATATCAATCCTCATGCCATTACAGTAACTCGGGAAACAATGGAAGCGCATGGAGTTCATGCAGAATTGATAAATACCAATATCATGTCAGGGCTAGAGAGTCGTTTGGCTGGTTCGGTCGATCTTCTTGTTGTTAATCCACCTTATGTGCCAACGCCCGAAGATGAAGTTGGTCGTGAAGGGATTGCCTCAGCATGGGCAGGAGGAGAGAATGGTCGAAGTGTGATCGATAAGATTTTGCCTGTTGCGGACAAGCTTCTGTCGGAACGGGGTTGGTTGTACATGGTTACTCTTACAGCAAATAACCCGTCACAGATATGCCGGCAGATGATGAAGAAGGGTTATGCTTCGAGAATTGTTGTCCAACGATCGACAGAGGAAGAGAGTTTACATATCATAAAGTTCTGGAGGGATATTGACTTGGAGGTGGATGCAAACAATGGTGTGATGAACAGCGAACCTGTTTCTCCGGGCATTTTGCACTCTGTCCGTTCGCAGATCCAACGTTTGTTGTTCTGGGGAGGTAGTGACATTAACGCCGGCACCAATTGAATCTATGAAAGCGAAGAGAAGTTTTTGACCATCTGTTTTTTTTTTGTTTATCTTGTGTGGAAACGATATTCGAACCCCTTATTTGATAGTTTGACACTGACCAAGCTAAGCTAAATATAAGGTTTTGAATTCGAACTCGAATAGCTTGTGATCATGTCTCCGACATATTGATAACTTGGAGTTAGACTCGCTTGTTGACACCAACGGGCAAACCCCAAAAGATTTCTCATCAAACTGACCCGAGATTGGAGGCAGCCAAACGGCAACTTTCCTATTCCCAAAAACACAATCGTCTGCTGACACCATCCGGCAAACCGCCAAGATTTCTCATCAAGAGAAGTAAATTCTTTGAAATCCTTGCACCAAATCAAAGCTCGCATTTTCACGTAAAAAGTTAGATCCTTAAAATTGGTAAAAAGACCTTTTCATTCCTCGCTAGCCACAGGCTCGAAACGGCTGCTGCAACACAATCTTCTTTCGCTCGACCATTGTGCGTGGAAGCAAAATTCAAATAGTTCATCGGTGTTGCGGGGATTCGGCAAACTCACGTTCCACCATCTGCAGAATAATTTTCAAAAGAAAGCGTCCTAACGAAAACATGATCGAAGCTTTTGATATAAACCTCACACGACACGCAAAGGCATTGATTTTCCATCAACATTAATCCTCGACTCCTTAGGAAATCCTTTGTAGGCACCCTATTTCATTTCAGTCAAACACATATTTTCCTTTGATCAGAATAATACTACCACTAATGAAATTGTCTTCCAGCTGAAATTTATTTTTATCCCAAATTGTTAGGAGCCGCCCCCTGGTTCTCCCCACTGCTTCAGCTACCTTAAAAATAAAAAAAAACATCATCGAACCGTAACCTCCTAATTTCTAATTCAGATAATGCCTCGTTTTTCATTTCTTGAATAAAAACCACTTCTACCCTATGGTCACTTATAAAGTTACGTAATGTTGAGATTTTAATATCAGAACCCATACTTGGAATATTCCAAGAAAATGTTTTCATATCCGATCCTCCTCCCTCACTACGGATGCTAAAAAATCAAAGATTGATCTTCGACTCTTCTACTGAAGCTATTTCCCAGATAATTTCTTCTTCTGGCCCATCAAATCATATCTCCAGTTTTCTGGGTTTTTTTTGCCCATTAGGGCAGGCGGCAACATTATTTGGCTCAATAGGGCACCCCATAAATTATTTTAAGATTTATGATATTTTTTAATTTTGGGGCAAATATTTTAATATTTACTTTGGAACTCGTCACCTCGACGTGATGAGTTCTATTAAAATTATTTTTTAAAGATTATTAAGTGTATTTTTCAAAAAAAAAAAAATACACGTTCCTTAGATTTAATTTTTTATAGCCTTTGTTGATTTGAAAAATAACCGTTAGAACTCGTCACCTCGAGGTGACGAGTTTCAACTTTCATTTTCTAAATTTTAAAATATAAATAGGAGTTGGGTTATTATAGAGTTATAAGAGAAGAAAATATGGACTTGTGGGAAGAATATTTCAAGCAATTTTCGGAAGATAATCTTTGGTCAGATTACTCTTCAAATGATTTAGATTCAAGTTTGTTTTCAGATGATGAGTGGGTGAAAGAATCAATAAAGTCTATCAACATAAGAAGTTGAAGAGGAAGGAGGAAGAAAGAATAAGAAGGAGAAGTAGAAGAAGAAGAGAAGAGGAAGAGGAAAGAAGAAGAAAGAAAGAAGAAAAGAAGAAGAAGAAGAGAAGAAGAAGAAGAAAGAAGAGAAGAAGAAGAAGAAGAAAAAAAAGAGAAGAAGAAGAAGAAGAATGACGAGTTAGTAAGCCGATGCAGCAAACGACTCATCAAAAGGAATGTGAATAAGAAAAATAATGTAAAAATCGAAAGGAAAATATATTTATTTTGTTGAGAAGATGTTTTAAATAAATGTATGAATCTGACCCTAGTAAGCGTTATTGTTTGCAATTATATATGAAACGTAAAAAACTAAAAAATTATCATTGATATTTGTAAAATCGATACAAATACGATTACAAAGGATTTATCGGTCTGCTCGATATCTTGGGAGATATGGACAATGCTTCCTATTGTGGCCTTCACCTCTACAGTGACCATATAGCTTAGACAAACCTTGCTCTCTTTGAGGGTCTTCCATATCAGTATGAATTCGAGTAGATTCAGGACGACCCCTCAACTTCCTGCGTAATTGCAGATTGGGCTACTTTTCTTTAGAGACAGTAGGTGGCCAATATGCATTGTTCGGGAGGTTCTTGAACTCGCAACTATATATGTTATGTATAATATGCAAGCTATAACAATCATCAGCGTAAATGTATGGGTCTATATTCACATGCATACATGCAGCAACTGCATGAGCGCATGGGTATCTGAAGGCTTGAAATCAACTACAATAACACCATCTTCTATTCAGATTACCTATATAGGTGTTAGAAGTCCCATTCTCCTGTGGTCAAATAAGTTCTTGGACAATATAATCAGATTCCAGTCTAGCGAAATTACGAACATGCATTGATGTTGCCTGACGTTGATTTTTGTTCATTGCTTTCTCTAGATATGGAGCTCAATTTCTACCTTCGTTGGGCATTGCCTCTACTTGGGAAATTTTGTCTGCCAAACTTCACCCAACCTGAAGTATGTCTCCCGAACAATACTTACCATCGGAAGGTTTCTAGTCCCTTTTAGCACAGAATTGATACACTCGACAAGATTGGTTGTCATATGACCGTAACGTCGACCTTGATCGACATATGACTGTGCACATTTTTCCCGAGGCCATTTATTGCAATAAATAATTCACCGTTTAAACTACTTTTCAGAGGTCATTTATTGCAATAATAATGCACTGGTTCAACTACTTTTCAGAGGCCATTCAATGCAGAATTCAAGCAACTTTTTCGGAAGCGGGTGAAAATAGTGGTGCATTGTCATCTTCTACAACGTTCAGTGATATATCAACTCAAATTAGAAAGCTTTTCAGAGTTGAATTATCACTTCGAATAATAAAAAATGTGTATTTTACCAAGGCCAAATTATCACTATTTTACCTACTTTTCGGTGCTCATCAATGCACCGTTTTAGCTACTTTTAGAGCTCATTCAATGCAAAATTCAAGCAACATTTCACCAAATTTTCAGTGCCCATTTAATCATCTTCAACAACTATTAATACGTGTTAGTTGAAAGCCATTCAACTATGATATTGAAGCAAAAAAAAAAAAAACTATAACACCTTCAATCTTTCACTTTCAAAGATTGAGTTTTTTTTCTCAAACATGTCAACTCTTTTGTGCAACTATTTTTTACGATTGCAAATATAAAACCATGTGTTTCCCAAAAAATATCCAACTATACGAGTTGAAGTTTAGTATAGAAACAAGAGTTCTACTTGGAAGTAGTAGAAGAGTATCTTCCACATATTATAAATTTCTAGTATCATGCACGATGTTTCATCTAAGCGATGATGTAGACCTTGTTGGCATGGTTGAGACATATTTCTATCACTCTTTGTCTAATGTCGATTTGTTTGTAGAGTCCGATGATCTCGACCTTGCTCGTACCATTGAGGATGTTGATTTCAGTTTGAATATCCCACTAACTCAAACAAATGACCAAGAAAAAAACAGAGATGATGGAGACCCAGAAACATGATTCAAATTCGTACGTGAATGACAACAACAAAAGAATGAGGAATTGAAGAACTTAATCTTCTTCTGACGAGTCTACTGATACGAAGATTAAAACTTCTTAATTAATATTGCTATGTTAATGATTTTACTTAATATTTATGGTGTTCGTAAAATTATTCCTATTTACGTCCTCATGTTAACGTACTAAGTTTGTAGTTTTTTTTCCTTTTCAGCATAGTCTACGACATTTTGGAGAGCAAAAAAAAAAGCAAGGAGCACGAGTTCCTCGTATTTTTTGGAAAAAAATACACCTAATAATCTTTAAAAAATAATTTTTTAATAGAATTCGTCACATCGAAGTGACGAGTTCGCACTGAAGAAAATGCCGTAGATCCCAAAATAATATCTAGGTGTCCTATTGGGCTAATAATGTTGCAGCCTGCAGTAATGGGCCCAAAAAACCCAGTTTTCTTTTATTTGGAGTGCGAGAGTCCAATTGTGTTATGACGAGTATTTGAGGCTATTGACCACCGTCTAGGTTGCTAATGACATGATCCTTAAAGAGTTGAGACATTTTCAGTCTAGTTGTACGTATATCTAAGACAACATCATAGAAGAGGATATCATCATATCCATATTTACTTTTTCATGTTCTTTTTAATTCAAGTTATCTACGTTTCTTTGTTTAAAACTTTTCTTTGACTCCATGGTTACGTCTTTGTTGATATGAGCTTTCTTTACTTGTATTACATCTACTAATTTATTTTCTTTTCTTGTGTTAGCGCAACAAATGGTTTGTGTACACACTTTCTATTACGATTGTTTCGTATCTTTATTGGCTTCTTCGAGGGTTTGTAATCAACTCATATACGAACAGCGTTGTTCATTTAAGATTAACTCTGCTACTTAAAAAAACTAATAAATATTCATATTCTTATTTCATTTTTCTTTTCGTGAGAGTTTATGAGTGATTAAAGATGGAGCACAACCAAATTGTTCTTTTTGTAAAATTACTGGCCGGAGTCTGAGGTCCTAAAAAAATTATTGTTCGAGCATTTTACTGAACATTTCAGCAATGGTAAACGGATATGGAGGGTAGAATATGAGTTAAAATTTAAAAGGATTTCAGTGGCTGAAGCATCTAAGTTTGAGGAGCCATTTACCTTGGAGGAGATCAAAGAAGCAATCTGGTGTTGTGATGACTCCAAAGCCCCCGGACCGATGGATTCAACATGAAGTTCTATAAATGACTCCAAAGAAGCAATCTGGTGCTGTGATGACTGCAATCGTAGTCCCTAAAGTCTTTAGGGTTTTCAAAATTGAAAACTTTTAGATTTTAGTGACCAAAATAGAAGAGAAGAAAATTGTTGAGTAATGAATAGTGTAATTTGCCCAATTTATAACAGTAGGAATTAAATGTTTCGTTAGTCAAAGGCCACATTGAGCTTTTTTTAGGAGTTGGAGGGTCACATTGATCCAAAAAAAGATGAGGACCATATTGATTTTTTTTTGAAAGTCTGGGGACCTTGGGTGCCTTTTTAAAACGTTGTAGAGGAATTTGAAAGAGTTAGTCCTTCAAAATTTTATCATTTGATGATATTCATAATTTTGCAAGGGATATAAGAAGTGAGTTAATTAAAAAAATTGAGAGACGAGGCCAAAAACAATAAAAGTCAAATTAATAGTCTTGATTTTGAGTGTGAAAAGACACAAAATATGAAATCAAATAAGTATGTGAAAAGATAAGAAACGAAAAGAGAGCATTATAGAATTTGTGACTAATCTGATAAGGATTCATTTTCGATTGATATTGATGATCGTTCTCCTTTTTGATATTTTAGATTCGACGATGATTTCCTTTTGAGTGGGGAATGATACATGCATGAGAGTTCTATGTTGAGATTCTTCTTACAATTTGATCGACTTTCAATCATCTTTCTAAGACATCTTATAATATCTTAATTGAATGTCAAGAATTCAAGATATACTTGTTTTAGTGAAAATAACACAATCATAAAATTCTATACGAGTACAATGCAAGGCTTTTTTCAAATAGTTATAAATTTTTAATATTTTTATTGATTATTAGTAATTAAATTCAATTTAAGACTATACTTATATTAACAAAATATGAAAACAATCACTATAGCAAAATTGTTCTACAGCGGCGTTGTTAGCTGCGTTTTAGGAGTAAACGCCACTAATTTTAAACATATAGCGGCGTTTACATGGCAAACGCCACAAATGGTAACTTTAGCAGCGTTTTTATAAAACGCCGCAATAGGTTCATCTATAGTGGCGTTTTTTCAACAAACGCCGCAAAAGAGTAGTACTTTAGTGGCGTTTTTATACAAACGCCGCTAAAGACTCGTAATTTAATGGCATTTTTATACAAACGCCGCTATAGAATTGTACTTTAGTGGCGTTTTTATACAAACGCCGTTATACACATATACTATAGTGGCGTTTGTGTTTACAAACGCCGCTAAAGACTCATAATTTAGTGGCATTTTTATACAAACGCCGCTAAAGACTCATACTTTAGTGGCATTTTTATACAAACGCCGCTAAAGACGCGTACTTTAGTGGCATTTTTATTCAAACGCCGTTATACACTTGTACTATAGTGGCGTTTGTGTTTACAAACGCCGCTAAAGACTAGTAATTTAGTGGCATTTTTATACAAACGCCGCTAAAGACTCGTACTTTAGTGGCGTTTTTATTCAAACGCCGCTATACATTTGTACTATAGTGGCGTTTGTGTTTACAAACGCCGCAAGTTTACAAATTTTAAGTGTTGCGCCCTTTAACCTTTTTTCATTTTTTTCCCTTTCAAGCATTTTTCAATCCCGCCGTTTACCCAAACCCATCTTCTTCACTACCAAACCCTAAACCCATATGTTTCACTACCATTTTTATGCTATCTCTGGTTTAGATTCCCTTATCCACATTTTTAAAAGAAGTCATCGCTGGAATTGAAGAGCAAGGAATCTGAAGTTGAACTACCGAGATCCAAATGATGGATCTAAACCTGAATCAACTAGAATCGGGTTAGGAGGAATTGAGGAAAGAAGCTCGAAAGATCGAAGGCGATCTCGATGTCAAACTATCTTCTTATGCTAAGCTCGGTGCTAGGTTCAATCTAGGAGGGTTGCTCGTTTTCCTCCTTTTTATTGTTATTTTCTGGAATGTGTGTTGCTTTTTCCCCCCAATAGATTATTGAAATTAGGAACAAATTTGTTGAAGAACTGAACATATTCTAAAATCTGAATAAATAAGATTTGTTTAATGGGATTTTTTTTCCTGTTTTAGGAATCCAAAGCCTTAGGAATCTGGTGCTCTTTCGTTTCTTCTTCTTCTTTGTGATAATATTTACTTACATTTAGATTATGTAGATACTCGGTCGCCACCGGCCGGGTCAAGCAGATCATGGAAGTCTATGGAAATTGAAATTCAATCATTGCTTGAGAAACTGTTGGACTGATCGTATGAGTAGATGTACTGCATCTTCTGCATCGACTACTTCGGTAACCCAGAAACTTGCAAGACATAGAGACATACTACATGAGTTTACTCAGGTTTAATCCGCTGATTCCAACGATTATAATGCAAAAAATTTGAATTCGAAGGAACTCATCACCCCGACGTGACGAGTCCACTTAAAAATAATAAATTAATGACCTACGTAAGATCCACTCATCCGAGTCTATTAAAAAATAATATTTTAAAAAAACTCGTCACCTCAAGATAACGAGTTCACCCGATATTGTAATAAATAACTTAGAACCCTAATTAAATTCTAGGATGAGTAAAGCCTTAAATTTTAAATCTAAAAGCCTTATCGGGCCAAAAAAAATCCTGATTTATTTTCTTGTGCGAAAAGAAAGGAACAGAACGAGGACCCTATAAACCAGTTTTTCTTGAATTTAAAAACCAAAACCCGGTTTAAACTTGGCTCCTCGGTACGACTTTACACAACTCTTATTTATTTCCCTTGTTTCACCTAAAGAATATCACAGTTGGTCTTCTCTTTTAGGCTCTGCTAGGTTTTGTCATCTGAATGCTAAAGCTATGGTAAAGCTTCATTTCTTTTATTATCTGTAATACATTTTCTTTTCTCATTTCAGATCTTAAATCTCCATCCCTTACAATTCTGTAAATTTTCACTGATTGTTTTTTTTGGGGGAGGATTTGCAGGATGGTAAAAATGTGAATATGGAGGCAGCTATCGACCAGCTTCTTAATGTTGAAAAGCAGATGAGATTGGCCGGCGATGTGGCCGCTACCAAGAAAGCCGTCACTGATATTTTACAGCTATGCTTTGAAGCTAAGGATTGGAAGGCTCTCAATGAGCAGATCGTAAACTTGTCCAAGAAACGGGGTCAGCTTAAGCAGGTAACAAGTGTTTTGATGTTTTCTCTTTACTGGATTAAATTATTGGTTTGACTGATTCGAGTTTGGATATTTAGGTTTAGGGTTTATGAATCATATTGGGCTGAACCTAATTCGCTTATTTGCAAGTGGATGTGTATATAGTCTGAGCTTTTTGTTGAAATTGAGAGAGCAAGATTGATCAGTAGACTTGCAAATATTAAAGAGGAACAAGGCCTTATTGCGGAAGCTGCAGATTTAATGTAGGAAATTGCAGTAAGCTTCCTTTGTAATAAGATGATACATTCTTTTCTATTAATCCCCATTTCCTGATGTTTGATTGTTTTGATCTACAGGTCGAAACTTTTGGTGCCATGGCAAAAACTGAGAAAATTGCCTTCATTCTGAACAGTATGAGCATCTTATTTTGATCATGACCCTTAATTGTTTTTAATATGAATTTATCTTTTATATTAAGACTGCAATATTATTGTCACCCTGTCAATAATTAAATTTTGCAGGTTCGCCTTTGCTTAGATCGTCAGGATTATGTTCGTGCTCAAATTCTGTCGAGGAAGATTAGTCCTAGAGTATTTGATGTTGACCCTTCTAAGGAGAAGAAGAAACCCAAGGAAGGTGACAATGTAGTAGAGGAGCCTCCTGCTGATATACCTTCACTATTGGAGTTGAAGCGTATCTACTATGAACTGATGATACGGTATTTGGCTTCGTCTCTTTCTAGCATCCGTATTTTTATGCTCAACATTTTGTGTGATCTTTTTAATTGTGTTTTGATAATAATGTTTTTCTACGTAATTGTCTTATTAAATTCCCGAAGCAATTTCCAAGCAATCTGAACGTGCTTTAGTTGTGTTGGCAATTTGATTTTTGTATAAGTTGATTGCTAGGGAATCTCAATTAAGTTGCTTTCATTAATGGAGAAGCCCTCAAGTTAGATTTGCTTAACCTTTTATTTCTTTCAAGGATGGTATCTGCAAAAGCAGATGGTGAATGTTTTCTTTCTGTAGGTTGTTACTTCAGATATATTATATGTTGGAAGGTATGTTCCTTATGTTTCAAGGTGATGAGAAAGCTTTTCCCTACAGTTTTGGGGCTAGAGATCTAAATCTATCTGGAAATTTTAATTCTGGAGATAAATTAATGCAATAGAGCTTACAGGCTACAGTTACTCGAAAACATGATCCTTGAAATTCTTAATTTTATGATGTCTACAGAATTGGGGTTTATTGAAGTAATGATTACTTTGAAATCCAAGGTCCACAAATTTAACATTAAAGCAATTGATATTTCAATTTCTTTAATTTTGTACAAGTAGTGCATTTGCAAGCTCAGTTCCTGAAATTCTATTCAAAATTAGATTTATCACAGGTAAATTGCCTACAATTTAGGTTCAAGTTTGGACGCATAATTGTCAAGTGATCCATCTAACTAAAGGGTCTTAATCTTCATGTAGAACTAATTAATATGGAACTGTTATCTCTTTGTTTTCTGTATATGTACAGTCCTTATGGGTTTGAAGTAATGGTATAATTCTTCGTTTTAAGGAATTCAGAAGAATCAAGCAATGAGGGAACATGCTTGTTAGCACAGTGTTCGGGGATCATTTTTTGAGTAAGTAGTTCACTTTTTGAGTTCTTTTTATCGTCTAAAATTCTTATAGTACAAAGTTATAACTGGAAATATATGTTCCTTGATTCATTTGTTTATTTTACTGATCATGAATAGGATCAAAAGACACATGAAGCAATCTTGAAATGATTAAACCTACTAGGGTTTTCCCTATGAACTTTGAGGGACTTAGACATGCATGCTTTCTTGATCCAAAATTATAAGATTTCATTGCTTATCCCTCTTTTTTATTTCCTTAACTTTTCTAAGAATACAAACTTGCTCAGATTCTTGGGGTAAGAATTCTAACTTCTAAAAGTAAGATGGCAACCAATACATTATTAAATTTTTTCTTTATGATGACATTTTTTACATTCTTATGTAGAATATATTTTAGTTTTCATGGTTCTTGACTTCCTGTTTTTGTTGTTTGTTGCAACATCTTTTTTCAGTTCTCAATCACTCACATGTATGTTATGAATGCAAGTTCTGCTGGTTGTTTCCTTCTCTTCTTAGTCTCATCTAAATTATTGTAATTGCAGTAATCTTGAAGAACAAACTTCAACAAAAAGCGGCTTCTTCAATAGACTGGCACATCGTTTCCCATTTGTTTTTAATCTATTGAGGAGAGATCATTCACTGTCAAATGATACTTTTAAATAAGATGTCAAGACGATGAATATGACAAATTCCAATGAAGTGGGAAACAAAGTAGCTTTAGAAGGCATATCTGGAGGTTATGATGATGACGCTAGTGAAATTGAGGATGTATCGAACAATAAATCCATGTATATCTACACTTTGAGGTTCAGTTGTAACTCATTTGTACTTTAATGTCTTTTAAGGTTCTCTCTCCATAAAAAAATTAATTTATTTTGTTGTTAAGTATTTTTCTTTATGTTTTTTGTCTTAATTAAAATGTATGGTTGTTGTTAATTAGATAAAGCTAGATATAAATTTAGGTGATGTATAGCAGAAATGAAATATGCAAAATCAATTAATATTAGCTAAAGAAAGGTAATTAGCGACGTTTGTATCAATAAACGCCGCTATAGGTCTGACTTTTTGCGGCGTTTGTGTTAAAAAACGCTATTATAGGTCTGACCTTTTGCGGCATTTGTGTCCAAAAACGCCGCTATAGGTCTGACCTTTTGCGGCGTTTGTTATAAAAATGCCAGTATAGGTCTTCTCTTTTGCGGCATTTGTATCCAAAAACGCCGCTATAGATCTGATCTTTTGCGGCGTTTTTTCTAGACACGCCGCTATATATCATAACTTTTTACGGCGTTTATTCCAAAAATGCCGTTATAGATATCGACCTTTTGCGGCGTTTTTCCTATCGCCGCAAATACTTTTAGCGGCGCTTAAAAATGCCGCTATAAAACTAAAAAACCGCCTCTAAAACTCTATTTTGCTGTAGTGAATGTGATGAATATGATTAATATAATACATACAAAACATTTTCAAATTTATATATTTATATTAACAAAACAGGCAAAAATTCTATGCAGCTAAAACCCTAAGTAATGTATACGAGACTAGTGAATGTAGGTTTAAATGCGACCCCATTCATTGAAGGAATGGGCTTCCCGCTCTCCCATAACAGAAACTGAGGAGCAATACCTACAAAATAATAAATTAAAAAACATCTTTTACTGTTGGAATTTCTCTGGCAACCCCAAGTGTGTGTGGATAAAGCTAAAATGTTCGAGATTTTCATGCATGCACCGCTTCACTAAAATAATATCTTTACTGTTTCTCTAGTAGTGTCTTTTATGTCCTTAAAATTATCCACTACTGCTTTTTTCTGCTCGGTTTTAATATTTTGTCTTGATTAATTTGAATCGAATTGCGTCACACATTTAGTTTTGATAGGTGAGTCCCCAACATGAAATTTTCGTATACACAAAAACTCGAACTCGAAATTTACTTAAGTAATATTAAACTGTTTACCACTTGAACCAACCTTTTGATTCTCTACCGCTGCTTTTAATATCACTAGGACATTCAACTTCTTGTTACTCTGTAATAATATCAGGAAGTGAAGTTAAATTAAAGCACATTTTCTCTACTGTCTTTTAATCCCAGACGGTGTGGTATCGTTAGATAAACACATTTATTTTAGGGTTTGTGTTTTCAAACACGTGGCATTACCACGTTGTTGGTAAGCAATTAAACCCAAAGTCAACCTTTTTCCTTTCCTTTCTGTCCTGTCCTGTTCTGTTTCTCTAACGCTTCTTTGTATTGGCACACTTTTTTCAAACACATTTCCTCAAAATACCAATCATGAATATTATTACCTGCATGACACCTTCCATGTCGGACACTGGCACCAGATTAACTTCACTGTGTGTGAACCCATTAAAATCGGAACTGTCATAAATTATACATTTATCATGTTTTTTTAAATATAGATTATAAAACAAATATAAAGCTATAAAAAATCTATATAATCGATCCAACAGTTATCTCTTAGCACACAGAGGAACATCAATCTTCATTGAAAATCACAACAGTTATTTACAGAAAGGATGATAAAATCATTCCCATATATATATTATAAACAATACCCAAATACCAAAATCCAGAAATAAATCCATCATCTTAAAAAGAGAAAACAAGGAAGAAGAAATCAAGACGGCCACAACCATGCAAATTTGTGCTGTTAAAACCATATGTACTACATATCCCTAACTTCGAACACGTTACGGTTTTTTACGATAATATCGTACATGTGAATCGGCTTGAACTTGTTGAAATCCTTAGGGAGAGAAATCAAATGGACGGTGGATCGTTTGTGAAACTGGAGAAGATCAAGGTTGTCATAATATCTTTCCCACCCCAGAGACCATAGCTTACGTTCAAGTACAGCGTAGGAAGTGATCACTTCGTCGGAAGGAGTGTGTACAAGCACTTTTCGGCGGGTGTTAGAACCTTGTCGGCCTCCTTCCAATGACTCAGCCCCCGGGTTCTCTATCAAGCGAACCACACCGTTCTTGAAAACCCAAACGCCGGACATTCTTGTCGTCTAAGAAGAGAACTTTAAGCTAATGGATGGATCGAAGGAGAAGACTATTTTACCCTATAGCAAAGCTCTTGAAGATGGGGGTACATGAGTTGATGGGATTGTAGGGTATATGTAGGGTGACTTGAGGGATTGAACGGGGATGTTTAGGCATAGGTTGGGAGGCCCAAAGTGGAAGGAGAACAAGTAGTGTATGAATTTGAATTTCTATTTCGAAAATATTTTATAATTATTAATATATATAGAATGATCATAATATCATATTACAATCGAATAAATTTAAATCAAGGTAATTAGAGACAAAAGTTGTACCATCAATGCGGGCATAAAAAGACCGAAGGGAATCATGTTTCTTTTTGACAAGTCTTTTAAATAAGCCCCACCATGGGAATCTTTGTCTTTGTTTTTGTAGAAAAAAAGTAATTGGAATTGTGTGAGACTTGTTCTAGAGAAACCTAAACGAAAATGACTTTATATATTGTATTATATTATTACATTAAGAAAATGTGTAATAGTATATGACTGGAAAAAATTATACATGACTACGGAGTTAATGCTGTCGATATTCGATTTGGAATCAAATATCCATTGGTTAAAGTATGGCACATGAATAAATGCCGTCTCACGTTTAAAGTGAATTTTGGGAATATATTTATATATTTGTTCTCCTTAAACAACAATATGTGTTTAATCTCAAACGAATATCCATTTTTATCTATTAATGTACAATACATACAAATTTTAATCTTTTGCATAAGAACATGCAAAATATGAATGTATAGTTTCATTATATCGTATAATTTTTTTAAGAATATTGAAGAAGGTTAAGAATTCGTAATATGGAAAATAGCTAAAGCGATATCAATGTAAAATAATGCATATGAAAAAGATGAGATTTAACGTGGCTTAGTTTTGCCTATCTCCACAGATGAGAAAGAACAATAATTCACTATAAACGTAGAGATTACGAAGAATACAGATACATGATAACTCATGTATTTCAAAATTTAATATATATTACAACACAATATATCCCAAAACACTCTTCCAACATCTCCACAAAATCATCTCTATAACATAAACCCTCAAAATTTACGAAGATACAAAAAAAAATTACATATTTCCAAAATAATTTGCTATCATTAAATCTAAAGGTTAAAGCATACTCTCTATTTAATATTTAAAGAGTCAAAAGCTCGATCATCAAAAATACTTTTCCATAAGAATTCTTAACTAAATAAACTTAATTACTAAGTGATTTTCAACCAATAGAATTATAAAAAAAACCCAACTTAATTTGTAATTGAAATTTGAATCAATATCCAAGAAAATATAAATTGTGATCATCATATTTAAAAAAATCAATATATGATCAACGAATCATATGATAGTTTTAATGATAAAATATAATCTGATTTATTGATAATATACAAAAAAAAAATACCCTTTGTTATATTATTTTTATCATTTGACATTGAACACTTCCATTCTTGACATTCATGGTGTTCGAACCTGGGACCTTAAGAAATAACAACAATTCCTTTAACACCGAGATGCTTCGTGAAACCTCAGTTATATTGTTGTATGCATGAAATATCGAGAATTTCTAAAGGGGAAAGTGAGTGAGCATTTGAGAATGGGATTTTATATGTGTAAACTGGAAGTGGGACCAAAATAGAGAGATTCTAAATTGTATGATTGGTTGGGAAATGATAGAAGTTATTTTGCATTGGAACAATGAAACTTCACCATTGTGGGGTTTTCCTAACTTCGGCCTAACTGTTTTTGACTATTGCCTCCTAAATAACTTTTTTATCAATTATTTTTTTCCAGTTACTTCAACAATAGAAGCATTTCTTCCTTAAAAAAATCGAATGTAAAAAACTAATGTTTAAAAAAGACCAACTAAGAAGCTAAATCGGAGAATTTTTGGGATTAAAGTTGTATACGTTGAATCGAATGGTTTAATTAAAAAAATAATACTAAACAAATGTTAAATATCAATAGATTCGAATCCCATTCCATAAAATATGTTTAAGTAAAATTAAAGGTTAGGCTTAAATTTTTTATTGAGTGTTTGTTTGACTTGCACTATATTGTTATAGAATTTAAAAGATTACAGGTTCGGATTTATTTAAACGTGTAATTGCATTTCTAATTTGAAGTTCAAATATTAAAGGTAGCTCAAACGTTATATAAACAAAGAGTCGAATCTAATATTTTCTAAAATTTTCCATCCAATCAATAAAACTAGTCGATCTAATTTCGGTCGTTGTAATTACATTAGCTAGATTGATATTTCTAGAAAGGAATTTTAATATTTAACATATTATCTTTTTCTTTTTTCAAATTTGATGATAACAACCCAAATTTTCAAGTCATTTTTTTAATTGTTGATCCAGAGTTAATTAAATAGATTAATCGTCATATAGAGGTCTCATGAGTTAAAATTGAGTTTAATTAGAAAAACAAAATTGGTCTAATTAGAGAGAAACAAGATATTTGAGCTTAAGATGAAAGGAGGACCTAGAATGTAATTTACCTATTGAAGAAAATTATGCTTCTTTCCCCAAAACTTATTCTTTTTATCTGCATTTTCTTCATCTTCTCTTTTCATATAAGGAAAGAAGCTAGAGAAAAGCTTCACATTTCTTCATCTTCTCCATCAATATGAGATTTTCAAGGTAAAATTTATGATCTTGCTCCAAGATGAGCTCATCATCTTCTTCAATAATATCTATGAGCTTTTTTGTGGGTTTGAGAGGGTTTAAGCTTTAAGAGCTTCCTCCCATGATTTCTACATGATTTTATGCAGAGTAAGTTTTATTAAACAAGTTGTAACCATTGTTTTGATGTTAAAATCTTTTTGCTAGCTTTGGATAAGTAGAGAGTTGCGTGGGACCCTAAAAGAGCACGAGAAAGAGAATTTGGTTCTAGGTTAAGCTAAAAAAGGTTTAGTTGCTTGGAAGATGAGGTAACACCCCTAGCATCTCTGGTGCTTGAACCCGAGTCCTCAAGGAATAACAACAATTCCTTTACCACAGAGGCCACTTGGTTCATGCTTATCAGCTAGTATTTGTATAATCATAGATTAATAACAACATATTAGGTTATGTCACTTACAAATGAAATCGTATTTTTTGATGAGGTTATCATCTGATTCACTAATAACATACACATAATTTTAGTCTTAAGTATATATTTCTTTTCACGATGCAATAAATACATATTTCATGTTCGTTTTATTATTTATACAATTTGTCATTCAAGCGTTCGTAATTATTGTTATTTCGAGAGAAAAAAAATCAAAGTTAATTTTTTCTTAAAATTACAATATATTTTACTATTGCATTAAATATATCATAAACACATGCTCTCTCTCTCTATATATGGTTATGGACCGTCTCCAATATAGATGAACTTGTTCTCCACAAACTTATATAACTAAAAGGAATGAAGATATATAAACTCATTGGGAGCATAAAAGTTTTGGAGTATATTTCAATTGGGATTGTTGGAGATAAATAGGAACCCTTTTTAGGGTTTAGAGAGAGGATTTTTTTGTATAATAATTATAATTAATCGAAAGGAATAAAAATAATAATAAAAGGTTGAATCAAGAATGCTTTGCTTATCTTATTACTTATATATAATCTATTGTTAGGGTGGTGCCTAATTTTGATTAGAATAAGATACAATTAGGCCATCCACATTGGTTTTGAGAATAAAGTAGCAAAGGCATTTGGAATTTGGGATCAATTCCTATTTCATATATTTATAAAAGAACAAAGCTTATTAAAATCTTGATATATTATATATAAAATCTTAATATATTATATATATATATATATAAGGTATGTTCGTTTACATCATGTACAATTTTTTAGTTTCATATATTTTTAAGATTGTTGAATGAATTAAAATAGACTAATGCGACTATGAGAAAATATTTACATAAAAAATAAAGAGATGATGTTAATCGTTTATTTTCACTCATTCAACAATCCTGAAAGCTGTAAAACTAATGAATTTCATACGGTTTAACGAATCATGTCTCGTGTATTATTATGAATTTATAAAAGTAATTGCATTATATGTTAATGATTAAGATAGCCAACGAATTCGTAAAAGTTACATTACATGCAAAATGACACATTCAGATTAAAAAAGAAAAAGTAATTAGAATCCATAGAAACGACATCCTGCATTAATGTGCATGCATATGAAGCAATATAGCGTTTCTTTTGCATCTTTTAAGCATGGAATACAGTGGATATGTTTACGTATCACTTTTGTGATATATATATAGTGGTAAGGGAGATACGTTTCGATCCTTAATCATTTCTATATATTTTCTTCAATTATAAGAAAAAAGATTAAAATTTCAGCACGAGTTTCAAACTTTAGCCCAAATGATTCAATATCTACGTGATGCAAATAAGGGATTTAGTAGCACGAATCGACTATAACAGGGTGATTAAGTATTCATTGTCAAATGGTTGAGAGTATTTAAAACATATAATACTTTATAATCACCTTAGTTTAATCTAGAAAAGGGATTTAGTAGAACTGTTTGCTAATTGTGGTGTGCATTTACACATACCTCTTTGCAAATCGGCGCATCTAGTGTAGTGGCATCATAGTACCCTCCCACGGTACTGACCTTCCCCATATGCGCAATGAATAACAGATTAAAATATATATTTTCTTTAAGCAAATCATGTAATTTTTATGTGACTTTTATCTTATTCTATTGTAAAGGAGTCAAGGCTGGTTTCGCTTCTCCTGTTCAAGTCTCTAAACTCGATCCACTAAATGATGGATTTAAAAGGACATATTGAGCCGCCGCTAAAGTTATCGTAATATTATAGACCAAAAAAATGACATTCATAACAATTATCGTAATATAACAGAGCAGTGTTTGTTCAATGTAATGTATGTGAAGAAGATTCAAGGGCTGGATTTTGGTGTCAATTAGGTCCTGTTCTGATGAATATTAAGTGGAGGTTATTTAGCAGGAATAATTAAGGAAGAGCCATTATCATTGGTGTTGTAATTGCACTGCTGGTTGAAAGAAGATTGTGGTCTGGTTGCTTGGTTGGTGATCGTATGGTTTGTTGAGAGTTTTATGACTCCAAGTTTGGTGACATTAGGATGGACCTTGTACTGGATTCCATATTATTTTTGTGGTAGCGTAATCTTCTTCGAGAATTAATCCTGGTGGCTCGCTCTGGAGTGTGTGGAAATGTTTTTGAGCCTCGGTATGAGTTGCTGGTGTCTGGTGTTGAACTGTCGACTGGAATTGATGTGCTGTTTTTTACCTTTGAGTGCTTTGATGGCTGTAATGTTTTGTTTCTTTTAGATGGTCAAGTGTTGATTTTGTAGGGGGTGGGTTTCTTGAGTATCTGGTTTCTGTTTTTGGTTCGATGTGTTTGTATTGTTCTCTTATGTAGTACTCTTTTCCTCCAATTAGATTAGTGAAGTTTTTAATGAGGCTCATAAGTTAAACTTCGACTCTTTATTTATGTTAATAAATTGTCTTTTGCTGAGAAAAAAAAAACAATTATGAAGATATTTGTAAAAGCGATAGTTTTGTATCAAAATAATACAATACTAATAGAGTTTATAGAAAAATACATACGGGTCATACGAATACACATATCCTTTCAAGTAAATAGTATTGTTCTTTGATGCGATGATGTTGAAAATCTTATCGCGATGATGCTCTTTGAACTAGCTTAAGCTACTAATCTGCAAATGAAATCATATGAACGTTGAGCTTTATAAAGATCCGTGATACACTTTCACTATAATATACTACTTGCAATTCATAAATGTAAGGATATTAGGCAATATAAGTAGAGATGAATAAGTCTACACATACAATTACATTAATTAGTATCATGTTGATCATCATCAACATATGATCTACATGATAGAGATTTCATTCACATGCCGGTTTCACCTAGCCTCGGTTATCATACAACTCACATAATAAGCACATATAAATAATCAACGTTGACATATAGTATCACATAGCAATAAGGTAGTCAAAATACGAAATCTCAGTTTCAGATAATATGGGTAATGGTTCTTACCACACAGTATTCTATGGTTATTCGAGCTCACATAGAAATATGACATAAATTATGGAAGAGAACCCAGTCTCACATAGCATTGATAATAATTCCTACAAATAATTCTTAAGATAACCGAGGAGGTTCTTTGATAACACATAATTGATCAGCATACATGAATATAAAGCACAATAGTGCTCATATGCCAAACGTATCAGACTTATCACGTAAGGTTAACTAAGGTAGATTTACTACACAAATATCGTTTTACAATCAGTTAAGTGAGGACATTCTTTCTCACAACACCGATTGACACACTCCTCTTACAATATTATGCAAGGGCATATTAGTCTTTTCGCTAACTTGTAAGTTTAAGCATTTCTGTATTTCACATAATACATTATTAGTCTTGGGACACCTTATAATTTATCATTTCGTTCACTTTTATTTTCGTTATACTTAAGGGTATTTTTTCATTTTAGCCAATTAGAAGTATTTTAGTAACTTATCCTAAATCTTTTATTATTAGACATCCCTTAATCCACTTTCGTTATACTTAAGGGTATTTTTAATTTTACCCAATTAGAAGTATTTTAGTAACTTATCCTAAATCTTTTATTATTAGACATCCCTTAATCCACAAACATTTTAGAAGTGAAAGTTTGACTTTTTAAGTAGGGAGTATCAATATCATGTAAAAGGTATCGACATTCAATCATAGGGTATTAATACTCAATGATGATATCGATATCTAAATGACACATTGAAATCTCATATTTGTTGACGGTATTAATGCTCTACCTTTGATATGGATACTTGATGAACAATATCGATACTTCTTGAACAATATTGATACTCTTAGTCATTTTTGCCCAAATTTCTTCACCTATTCATATGATATAGGCACCTAAAGAACAAGACCAATATCAAAACCCAAAAATGATCAATTTGAACCTCAAAATCACTCCAAAAAGTCTATCAAACACCTTAGACAAGGCCCATTCAATTCCTAAGGCTTATGGGTAACATAAGGTCATTTAGCTTTAACATTACACATGTTTAACAACAAATATCACATATTGAATCCAAAATATGCTTTTGGATGGAGGATATGTGTAAGTTGAAGGTGGTATCTTGTGTTGGAGACTTCATGTCCGCGCGATGATGATTTTTTTGGAGTGAGTAGCATGACAACATCTGTTGTCCATGGAATGCGTGTCCTTGATGTGCAAAGTGTTTGCAAAAGATATTATTTGGGCTACCATTGGTGAGTTTTGCGGAGCTTGATATATTTATTGCTTTGGAAAGGGAGTACACTTAAGGTCTTTTGAGTGTTGGCAATTGATTTTAAATCCCAAGTTGTATGTTCTGGGTTGCTTCCATCCTTCTTAGACTTTGGAGGTGGTGGAACAGCTTTGAAGTGATAAATTGTTTGGTTTGCTCGGTACGGTAGTTGCATTTGTCGGTCTTTCGCAAAGGGAGTCTTAAAAAGTTTTGAATGGTCCAAAGCTTGGTGGTTATGGTAAGTTTTGAGGTTATTTTGGAAGCTTAAAGGGGCTTTTGCTGTTCCTTTTGCTTTGAAAATTCCTACCAATCAGCAAAGTCTTCAGGTGTTCCTTTTCCTTGTAATTTATATCCAACGTTATTGTCCGAACCTTTACCTTTTTTTCTAACAGCAACCTAACTTTTTAAATATTATTACAAGTTCAAAATCTTATAATTTTTTCTATTAATAGAAAGATACATGACCTCAATTTATAATATATATATAATATTATTTTAGTTTGGTATTTACATAAATTCGATACATGACCTCAATATATATATATATATATATATATAGCTTGATATTTACATAAATTAGATACCATATATTGTTGCTGTGAATGTCTTACAGCCGCAATGAAGAGTTTTAGATTCTTATGATGATATCATTTTTAACATTCTGAATACAAATATATGCACGGGTGAAATAACTTTAGTGATAAAAAAATTATTATTGTTACTTAAGGTCTCAGGTTTGAGCATTAGGAATGCTAGAAGTGTGAGCATTCAATATCAAAATGATTGAGAATTATTTTTGAACAAATATTACATTGTACTTACCTCAGATAAATAAAAATATATATAAATACATATAATGAATAGATGTATCATTCATGTTTATTTTATAGTTTACGAAAGATTAATTTTTTAGGAGTTTCGTAGCTGATCCTTTTGATAATATCATCTCAAATATTAAGTTTAGATTCTTTCTTTAAGAGTATAATATATCTTACCATTTCACGAAATATTTGATAAATAAACGATTTTCTTATATACAATTAGGTCATTCACATTGATTTTGAGAATAAAGTAATAAAAGACATTTGGAATTTAGGATCAAATCTTAATTCTTATATTTATTAAAGAACAAAGTTAATACAAATATTGTCATTTTTTTCTCGGCAAAATACAATTTTATTAAGGATTTGAAAAAAAAAACAAACTCAACGTCAAAGTTACATGCTTAGCTAAACACCTTCTTAAACTTAATTGGAGGGAAAAAGTATAACACAAATCAGATAAAAGATACAACTTGACAACTCAATACACGGACAATCACCAACAAAAGACCGGCCTGCGCTGACAAATATCCCTCACCAACATGCTTTAAGTAGCTCACACAAACCCATCTCTTCTTTAACTAGATGATCCGCCAGTCCGATAAAACTTCCAGCCAAACCACAACATCGAATAACACTCGTGCAATTGACCGGATCAAATTAACTACTCGACAAAAGATATTGCACCACCGCTGAGAAAACATATAACTCAAGCAACACCAAGCCAACAACTAACTCAAACAATTTCAACACGTAATTACAAGCTTAACGCCGCACCAAAAACAAGCAGTAAACAAGAAAGACATCCAAAGCAACAACCTTCAAAACCACTGCAGATTATCAAACCGCTGCGAAGCACTATAAGAAGTAGAAAAGTGGAAACCAACATCATTAGAATTTCCGTAACCACACAACTTAGACACAATCGGTCTCCTCGCAAACGAAATCAAGAAAAAACTAAAAACTATCCGGCCTATCAAGCTCTGCAATAACTTCTCGTTCATCACCCTCAATTTGAAAACCCAGCTTCATCTCAAATGTCCACGCTTACTTTGTATCCCGATTCTTAGCAGGATTTTATCTTCAAACCTTTGCCCCTTTTCTTCCTAGCTATCGATAAAAATTTATTATGAATATCCAACATTGACCTGGATTTCTTTCTAGGTATCACCCTAGATAATTTCCTTCGAATAGAAATCGAGATATTTTGAACAAAGTCGACCTCCACCTGCCTAGAGCCCATATTACTAACATCCTGTAACGCTTGACTGCTGCAGGGAACAGCGACCAAAACACTCGCCACTAGATTATCCACCAATCCAGACAAACAACTCAACTGCCCCGTTCGAAAAACATATAGGCATTTTTAAATGCATAATATATATTCCATAAATTATAGAGAATGAATGAATTAAATGCATCATCTGTTAATTATTAAGAAAGGAAATGAAATTGTAAAAGCTACGTTGTGTGCAAATCATTCCATGAAATGACACAATCATTTAAAAAAAAGAAAAAAAAGAATCTATAGAAATGACAAACTACATTAATTTGCATGCGTATGAAGCAATATACCGTTTCTTTTGCATCTTTTAACTGTGATATATTGTGAATATATTTATATAATATGTTTATGTTACATATACAGTGGAAAAATATATGCAAACATGTCTATTTTAATATTATTTAATATATTTAACTCGTTTTATTTTTTAAAATTTTAAAAATTCTAATAAATATAAATTCTAGACCTATAACTTTAAATAAAACATATAACATATATACATAAAGAGACGAAAATATGTAGAAAGTGAAAGATTCATGCTCATCTATAAAAATTTTAGATTAAATATTTAATAAATTTCTCTTATTTTTATTTAAATATTTTCTCTCTTTCGATATCATATCTTAATTTTGACAATGTATGTATATTTTATGCTTGTAGTGTGTGATAAGAGAAATCAGATCAATCCATAATCATATACGTCTCCTTTTATTATAAAATAAAAAAAATCAAAATGAGATTTGCACTAATATGTATCTATATTAGATACTTCAAGTTAGAAAAAACATAATAAAAATAATAATTTGAGCGTTTATGTAAATGATTATTTTGTTCTTCTATTCTTTTTTTCTTTCTAGTATTATACCTTTAAAATTTATTTTTTGATCAAAATAGACCTTATTAGATAAAAACCATTAGTTGATTAATAATCAATCTATAATGTTTACGTGATATTTTCACATATGTTCAACTGACGAAATGATATGTATCACATCACTCAAAGTGATGATATGATATTTGTCATGTCACTCAAAGTGATGATGTTCATATGTCAGATCATTTAAAATGATGATGTAACATATGTCACATCACCTAAAGTAATGATGTAGTATATATCATATCAATAATTAGATATATATAAAAATGTCACGTTAGTAACATAAGTTGACCATTAGTCAACTAATAATTTTCATCCAATATAATTTACTTTAACAAAAAATTAAAATGTTGGGGATAAAATATTCCAAAACATAAGATACAAAGTAACTATTTATACAAACATTAGTCATATTTTTATCATTATGTAAAAAAAAAATAATGTTCTGTAATTGTTTGAAGTCAGTCACTGTGTTTGTCTCTTTTACAAGTCTGAAATTCAGCCATTTGGGTTTCTTTATCAGATAAAACTTTCTATTTAGAGACTTAAATTTTCATTTCCATTTACTATCTTTCAGTTAAATTATAAAAGTGTTTACGATAACTATTTTCCAACATTAAGCGCATCTAGTGTAGTGGTATCATAGTACCCTGTCACGGTACTGACCGGGTTTGATTCCCCGGATGCGCAGCACAAGCTTCTGTTTTGGCTTTTCTTTTACAAAAGGCTGTTGATTTCTTTCCCTTTTTCGAACTTCTTAGCGGATTAGTTTTTAAAATTTTGATGTAAAGAGTTTCATTTCTAATATGGATGAATGAAATTTAAGTTTATTCTAATGGGATTCTTTATTTTCTTCATAAACAACTAACATTTGATAATTGTTACACATAGTAAAAATTGAGAATAAACGTACGACTCTTTTTTTAAATAAAAAAAAGATTAAACCTCAACTCTGAATAACGTATGTGTACAAAATCATATAATTTTGAACTTGAAAAGGCATGTAAAACAAACCATTCTCAGTACATTGCAGCCTAACAACTATCAAGAACCCCATCATTCTATCAACCTCACCACACCTCCAGTAATATTAAACATGAGACGAATACATGAACAGAGCAAAGTTAAAATGCATAATTCCGATTACAACATGAGAAATATAGGAACACACGAATTCTCGGGTCCGCCATCAAGGGGGTCAATTTGCAACCAATCCATTGTGACACAGTATCAGTCACAGATTGACCATAAGGGATATATGAACATATCGAGACGTAGACATGGCACCAGAATGAAACTTATACACACACATTCAACACCTGAACCTACATTAACATGGATATTGCATAAGGTTGTAGATATAGCTGCATATGGACTAAATGAAAAACAATAATCAAAACACCATCGTATTACCAGCAGTGAGTAGCATCAGCAAGAACGTGTAAAATAGAACCCCCCATGATATCGGACAAGACTCGAATATACAAACACTGCAACATCTATATGGAAACACCTTAAACATGATTATAACACGAGAGAGAATATATGAATTACGAAGTATATCGTCAAAGAAATCTATGGACAAACAACCCATTGGAAAACTGCTACACAGATTTAACTCTAGGAAAATATGAACCAGACAAATGTAATCTTAACACGAAAATGTTAAATAATGCAAGCAAATAAGATCATGGAAAACAAACCAGATTTATATAGACTGAATTGAAAAAACAAAATAACATTTGACATTTGTGTGAGATTCCTGATGCCAAAACAATGAATTTGACTTGAATGTCAAATAATTATTCCCACAAACAAATCTATTAAATTTGAATAACGTTTTTCATTGTTTCAGGAAAGATGAAACCATCAAAACCAAGTACAATGTTAAAAAATGTTATGAAAATCCAAATTCACATCTTTCGTATTTTCGCAGAAGGTAATTCAACAGAGAAATTGTTGTGGTAATGATAAAAAATTTCCTTTATATCATTCACAAAAGAACACTAATACAAAGGTTTGTCAATTTAATGGTAACATAGTAAGTACGGATTTAAATAGCGGTCTATTATCATAGTGGTCGGTCCAGTACCGGTTTTATCATAGTGGTCGGTCCAGTATCAGTGCTAACCGAGATCATTATTGCATGATTACCATACCCGCAATAACCACAATAGCAATAGAAGTAGCATAACTAAATTCACGACAGCGGTCATAATTTAAATCCCTGATAAGCAGGGAGTACGTAGGGATAGCAACTCAACTCGAATCCGACGGGTTCCGACCGGACCCGATCGGGTCGGATTTTTTTAAAAAAAATTCGAGTTCGGGTCGGGTCGAGTTTAGGGTGAAAAAAATCCGACCCGACCCGAAAATATATATAATTTTATCCTATATATTTAGGGATAATTACAATAATATCCCTCCATATATAATTTTTTTTAATTAAGTCACTGTTTTCATTGAATAATTTTTTTTTTATTATTATTTCAGGTCGGGTCGGGTTTCTAAGTCATATATTCGGGTCGGGTGAAACCTTAATTTCGTCGGATCAAGTCAAGTCACGGGTGAAAAACCCTTTCTTCTCGGGTCGGGTGACCCAAAAACCCGACCGACCCATTGCCATCCCTAGGAGTACGAGTTTATAGCAAGAAAAACAGGGTACGAGTTGAACAAAACTCCCCAAAATCATAATAAAATACAACCTCAAAATCAAAAATTGACAAGTGCACAGATAAGAATACCCAATTCATTCTTCAATTAGCTGCTCGCTTTGATTCTCCATCCTCAAATACCCCCCAATATCAGCCTGATGAAGCACAACAATGGCGTTAGGATCCAATTTCCTACAATCTTGAGTACTCTTAGCTGCAATCCCAAACCCCAAAGGCAAATCCGACATGGAAAAAACGACAACCCCATCACCAGGCGCAATGTTCTCCGTTATTCTCCCCAACCCACCTTTCAAAACATGATTCGCGTAAAGAAACGACATTTCCGATGTGGGTTTCAGCCAGACCTTGTGCTTGGCATTGACAGCCAACAGGTTTAGGCATTCGATGGTCAAATGGAAGTTGCCTGCGTGTGTGAATCGGCCTATGCAGGTTCCGATGGAAGCTAGCTTGGGCCTGGCAACGTTGGTGGCTCGTTTGACCAGCGAGTCGCTGACGTAGTAGACTTTGTTCTTGTGGAGCCTGAAGCAGTAGCGGCCGGGGTCTTTGTCGGGACCCTCAGGAGATGGGTTCTCGACTATGTTCTTCAGGTTGTTGCCGGTGAATTTGAACAGCTTTTCGAACACCACGGTGGTTTCCTTCTCGTCCAAGGGTCTCATCTTGTTGGAGGAGGGTTTGGTCTATGTAGGGTTTTTGTGTTTAGGGTCTTATAATGTATTGCATTATATGCCGGAGCACAACGGGCCCAAGACTAGTTTTAAGGTTTTTTTTACCCAATATCCCTTGCGGGTTAATTATATTGGGTTTTAGGCCAGCCCAATTTTTATTTTGGGAAATACAGCAAAAACTATGGTGGGTCATTATTTTAATGTCTTTAATGCGATTCGTTACCTAAAAAATTAATTTTTAAATTAAAAAAATAGATGAACTCGTCACCTGACAAGTTCATCTGGATATTTAAATCAACTAGTCGTTTATAGTCGTTGAGGTTAAGGTTATAAATAGGGGTTTAGGGTTTTAGTTTTCACTAAACCTAAAATCTTAAAAAATTGCAAAGAAATCCTAACTTCTGTGAAAATCCAGAAAAATGGCTACCCGAGAAGAAATGTTGTGCCTGGATAACGTCCATATTTTGTTTATCGAACTTCGGCCAAAAGAAGAACGGAGTATTTGTAAGCGCGGAATGACATAATGAGAGCTGCATCAGAGGATGTTGATATATTTACAGTAATTCGTTCTACTCCCAGCCATATATGTAAGTTGTATCCGACGTTGATTGAGGTTTTGGTCAAACGTTGGTGGCCCAAGACGCACACATTCCATTTCTCGAGTAGTGAAGCGATGATTACTGTGGAAGACATCACTTACCAACTTGGTGTTCCTGTGAATGGAGCCCCTGTGGTGAGGAAAAACAATTAGGACCCTGCGATATTAGTATATCATATTTTCAGAAAGATGCCACCATCCGAGGTCATCAAGAGCTATCGGGTATGGATGACGTTGTTGGAGTCCGAATTCCAAGTGATGGATGACTTTACCGAGGACGAGGTTATTTTTACGTCCAAGCTTATCTTCTCCGATTGATCGGAGGGGTATTATTACTAGATAAATCTGGTAATTTGGCACAAACTCAATATCTGCGAATATTAAATGACTTCGTTGAGTGTCGTAATACCAATTGAGGCTTGGCGATTTTAGGTTTTTTTGTACCAGGAGTTTTGCAAGGCTGCAATTGTTCAACGGGGTCGAAAAGTCAATTTAGTAGGCCATCTAATAATGCTACAGTCCTAGACTTAGTACCGGTTCCCATTTTTAACGCCAATTACCACAGCCCGGTTGAGTTTCCTATAGATGCAAGGTAATTTTTTAACTTTTTTTTAGTTTGATTAATTTAATTATTTTTTAATCTTTATAATATTTTTTAAAATTTTTAAATATTTTAGATGATGTCATAAAATAATCGAGACGAAGTTGTCGGGTGCCACTACACGAGATATAAGAATGAGGATTGACATCGCCAGTCGATATGCGGTATATATTTGTTTTTAATATTTTTTTTGAAATTTTTTAACTTTATATATAATAACTTTGATATTTAATATTTACAGTTTTCTTGGCTTCCATGTGTTGACGACAAGATCAACCAGTTATTGCCAATGCGATTTTTTAGGGGTTTGAGTTATGTTGTGTCGTGACACCGTTATTACATTTTGCAATTATTGAGTGGCACGTCATTGATAGAGTAATGCGACAGTTTGCGTCGCATTATCTGATTCCTACGTGTTGAGTTAATCGATTGATGGAAATGGCCAAGAGGGGGGTGAATTGGCAATTAAAATTTTGGTGGAAGCTTTTGCAGAAAATTGAAAATATTTGCACAACGATTTAGAGTGGTTCAACTTTCTCAACCAAAGTCTACATCCACTACCTTAGCTATCCACACTAAGGATTTTCCAACAAATTCACTAATTTGTTCTTTCTTTTGAGGACAAAGAGTAACCTTACAACTCCCTCAAGAATTATACCCCAAATTCTTGAGCACACTCTTTTTCAAAGAGAAATACACAAATTTGCAAACTTACAAGGAAAACCTCACAAGGTAAGATGTTTGCACAATTCTAGAACAAGAAAAAAACACTAAAAAATAATTACAAATGAGCACAAATGGTGTTCTTGAAAGCAAAATGAATATTGAAAGGAAAATTGGCTTGATTTGCACAAACTTGGTGTTTGATGCTTTCTTTCTTGTTTCTCTATGATTTCTTGTTGATCAAAGGCTTCAGAACTTATTTAAATACTCCCTCAATTGATTCTGAACGTTGGGGATGATTAGTGGAGTCAATGGAGCCGTTTAATTGTGAAAACCATTAACACAACAGCTTGGAGCGTGGGGGGAATCGGTACCCCCTTATGGGGAATCGGTTCCCTAAGTGTAAAATTCAAATATTTCGACCGTTAAACAGGGGGGAATCGATACCCCCTGGGGGGAATCGGTTCCCTCCGAGCATACTGGAATTCTCGGAGCCAAACCATTCCGGGGGAATCGGTACCCCCTTGGGGGAATCAGTTCCCTCTGAGCAATCTGGAATTTTTGGCTTTGAAATGGTTCGAAATATTTTGTAAAATTGTTTTGAAATTATTTTAAGACTAAAACTTAATTTTACACATGAGTAAGGATTAAAAATGACTTTTAAAAGATTTGGAGTAATATTTTGATATTCGAATAATTATATCGAATATACTTAGAAAACCTTATTGGAAAATCTTAAAATTCATTTATCTTAATTTGTTATATCGAAATATCAAAATGTTTTCAACACTACGCAAATTGTTGATATGGACGCGCTCTATATCATTGATACGCTTGGGAAACATATCGAACATTGGCCGGTGAAGCACGTTTACTACATTGAGCTATGGAATCAGCGTCAACTATCGGTCCCCTTGTGTTATGACATTACAATGTTGGACCTAGATTTCAACCATTCTCTCTATCTCTGAAATTACGAAGCAAATGGGAAACCATGTCTTACGACATCACAAGAGAGGGGAGAATGGGAACATCATCAGGCCCATGCGCCAAGTCCAAGTCCAAGAAGAAAACATCATCGTCTTCTTCTTCCGTTTCAGCATCTGCAACTGATGATTACTGTTATGCATCTCAGGCTAGTTTCGATTTTTATCCTCTATTTTATACTTCAACTGAAATTTAACCGACGTTTGAATGTTCATGGGATGCACCACAATATACTCAAGCATCTTCGAAAATACATGCGGTTGCGGGTGAGTGGGATTATATCCTAAATGGTCAACAAAGTAACAACCAAGTGGAATTAGTTACGACAATGATGACGTGAAATACTATAAACCCATTAATGTATTTTGAATGTGGATCTCAAAGTGTTTGAAGTACACCTCCTCAGCAAGATGAAGGAGATGACAATCAAGGCCTACGATCCCGATGTACTCGACAAGCCTCACACCATTATCATTCGACAACTCCTCGGCATTGTCAAGAACATAGAAAATATAGATAAATTTTCTTTGTAATTTTTCTGTAAACAATTTAATTTTTTGATTATTTATTTACTTTATATTTTTAAAATATAAATAAATTTATTTTTTCTTTAATTTTAATTTTTTTTTTAATTTTATCCGGCCAAACTCATCATATCGAGGTGACGAGTTTCAAGTGACTGTTGGCAATCTTCCCGTTGACCAACAACTAGTTTTTTTTTTAATTTGAAAGAACTCGTAGACGAGTTCCTCTAATTTTTTTAATTTTTTTTTTAAAATTAATTATTTAATAGGCTCGTCACATTGAGGTGACGAGTCACATTAAAGAAATTAAAATAATAGCCTACATGGGGCCTACTCATCAGGGACCATTAAAAAACAATATCCAACAAGTTCCATGCCCACCGTAACTTTTGTCATATTTCCCAAAATAAAAATTGGGATGGCCTAAAACCCAAAATAATTAACTTGTATGGAGTATTGGGCCAAAAAACATTTTATATCTGGGCACAAGATTTGAATTTGATGGATTCTAACCCATTTTAATTTTATTAGATTGAATTTTGTTTTTAAAAAATAGGTTTAGATGGGGCTGTGCCAGGATCTTAGATGAAAAATACTCAATTTGACCCGGCTCAAAAAATAATGTAATTCTACTTTATATATTTAAAGATAATTGTTCTAATGTCTCTCTCTATGTTATTTTTTCCCATTAGATCTCTATTTTTATCGAAAAATTAATATCTTTTTATAAATATATTTGTTTATGATCAAGTGGAGTCAAAATAAAATTTTATCTCAAAAAGGCATGTTGGATTCGAGTAAGTCACCCTGAACCTGAGTCAACTTAGGTTCCACGTAGAGGTATATATTTTCTGGGTCAAGTCGATTTAACCAAAAACCTGACTCGACGCGACTCATGTTCATCCCTAGTTTTATCCATCTTCTTGAGCAAAAAAAGGGTTTGTTTGTTTCCCTATAATTGGTTTTTCGGAAAATATTTTACTCATTTTCTAGTGTTTGGTTGGCGAAAAACAGATGATCAATATAATTCATTTTCCTGATCAACTCAATTTCCTTTGCATTTTCTGGAAAATGACTTACCATCAGATTTTCCGTAAGTTATTTTACGAACTTTTCACTTCAAAGCATAAACACTCAAAACATTATTATTTTATATATGTAATATTAATATATTATTTTAATATAATTTTAATAAAAATATTAATTATTAAATATTTGTTGATATTTTTAATAATATAGTATTATATTTTATTTTTATAATTATATTATTATAATATTATAATTTTAATTTAATAATAAATAATAAATTATTAATAAGATTAATATTATTTATTAATTTCATAAAAATAAAATTGTTGAATATTTAATATATACTCTTTAAATATAATATAATATTCTTGTTTTAATATTATAATTTTAATATTTTAGTAAATAATTAATATAATTAATAATATTTTATTATCATTTTAATAAAATAATTAATATAAATTATAATACTTTTATTTTAATAAAATATAATAATCGTAATATTTTTATTTATAAAATTATATATATAATATTTTAATAATAATATGACATAAATAATATTAAATAAATTATTCTAATATTTTAAAAATATTATTATTATTTTGTTAATAAATAATATTATTCAACG